TGCTACTATTTAATGATAGCATTCATACGGTACATTGACGAAATGGGGCCCACATGTTGCTTTTTCCCCTTGAATTATATATAAGTGCAGTGTGATTTACAGTATTACTAGAATTAGTAGCCAGCCTGAACAGGTGTTGAAAGATAGAGCATGTCTAGACCAAAAGGCAAGCCAGGGATCCTTCCTCTGGCCCATCTGGCCAAAAGAGAATTGCAGTTTATTTCTCCAGGGGGTAATGGGGGCATCTGTGGGAAGACTTTTGAAGTCCTGATTTTGAAGCCATGCCGCAGCTGGAGTGATAGTCAGTGTATATTAGGCCAGAGGAGAATAATTCCCTCTGTAATGTTACTTTTTGATCTACATAAACTTACCATAGATCAATTCAAAAATTGAGCTTCCATTTTACTTTTAGTATCAAAGTGTGTTTGTAGGTTCAATATACAGGAAGCTACAGTTTGCAAGAGGTCCTCTTAGATTGGTTTGATTCCAATTTTAGAATTTCTTGTGGATAATTTAGCCAACTTAAGCCATGGGAAAACATGCAAATCCGATCATCAAAAAGGACTGACACCTGATTATCATATTTTCAGTACAATGACAAGAGAAGAAACCATTAATCGCCTTTCACTTCTTATCTGTCAAATCATCTACAGATATCAACATTAAATTTGATATGCGGAAGCCAATTCTTATCTTCTTCCCTTTTATCTGTCCAGGATTATTGGCTTACATGTCCTGAAGGGCCTGCAGATATTTTTATAGGGATCTTAGAATGATCAAAGGTTGCGGGTAGATATTCTACATCCTTAGTCCTAAGTGTACAATGGAGTTTGCTGCAGGGCTGGTGGTTGGTTATAATTGGCGGGTCCCTCTCACAGTTCAACTGCCCACATCAAACAGATTGGAACCTGCAGTCACCATTGAGGTGTGGATGTGTTGTCTAATCCCGCCCGCCTAACAGGCGCTAGTGATCCTCCCCCCTCAGGGAAGGCACATTAATTACAGGTGAATTATCAGGAGGGTTGTTCTGGGTCAGAAGTGACGTGCTGTAGGTGTGGAGGTGTTTAGTGTGTAGCCTTGGCTGCCTGTATAATAATAACTTCATCGCAGAACAATTGTACACGATACAAAGTATTGCATTGCAATTCCTGATTTTTTTCACAGTACTTTTATGTTCGGGTTTAATATTTGAAACATTTGGGACAACAGTGCCTTCTCAAGCTCTATAAGGAATAACTTCCGTGGCAAGTACATGTAACCTTGCAGCACGTCCCACACGTTAACCAGTGCGGAGGCAACCCTAAAATTACTCCTCATCATTGCATGAATGACTGTCATTCCCCGGCAATAATAACATAGTAATTAAATTCCACCCTTCTGTATGTATCAAGCAGCGACCAGTCAGAGCAAGCTGCTTAAGAAAGCAGAATCAAAACATCTTTGTAGTCTGGATTCAACTAGCTGGTAAATGAATAGTTGAAACTGCCTAAATCTAGAACTTGTGTACATAAGTAAGAATGATTGTCACATTTTTTAGCAGCATAGTCAAAAATCACAGTTTGTAAATGTTTACAATTATTACATTGACTCCCTCTCCATTACTTTTACTTATAAATCTTCAAAGGAAATAATATGTGTCTGACATGTGTACAGTTTTTGAGGAATTATTTTTGAACATGTATTAGCGAAATTTGCCATCATGGTAATTTCATACAATATCTGGCTTACCGGTATCAGTTATCAGATTATTATTGAACATCAAAGATCTCGATTCGGGATCAGACAGGGCGTGCCAAATATTTCTTCTGTTACTCTAAAGTTCCACGTTGAAATATTAGAGCTCCCCAAAATCTCTGCTCTTTCTGAAAATTCAAAAGAATCATCGAACACAGAGGATGATTCATGAGTCAGCAATGCCTTTGGGCTAAGCATGCTGATTACGTTACATATAATGAATACGCAGCCAGGAATTAAGTAAATCGTTGCCGGGTCTTTGTTCAACGACAATGCAAAACATTTCAACCCGAGGTCTAGAGGGGAGGCCTGTTTGGATAGGGTATGAAAGGGAGGGTTTAGGTCAGGCTTGCTTCATTTTGTTCCCTCAAACTAAAAGCAGGACCTCCCGTCCGTCCTCTAGACGCGGTTAAACCAACTTTGTACGTGTGGGGTAACCGCTAGTATAACACTGTGAATTTTCTTTCAGCATTTCAACTTTTCTTTTTTAAAACCTCGGGATTCCTCTTCTAGTAATACCAGTTGAAACAATGCAAGTTCTTGCCCAGGGGCTAATAAGCAGATACATGTAACATGAAAATAAAATAAAAGGATGGACAACAGATCCTGAATATAGCATCTTAGTCTTCAAGTTCTAACTTAGTTACGTTTAACTTCTTTTTCCGAGGCAGTGGAAGACAAATGATCCCACTTTTCTGTAATGTGTGGGTTTACCAATTGAAGATCAAACGATGGGTTGGAAATGGTCTACAGTGCTCATAAATTATTCTGTCTAGACATCCAAACCCAAACCTGGAGATATCAAAGGAGAGAAAAGTGAAAAGGACTTAAAGTTTATTTTCCACTGAAAGTATCTATCCACAGAAGTCCGCTAAGGAATGCCTGCTCCATTCATTGGTTTTGGTGGACCTAATTTATGTATTTGGTTTTCAACACTGGCAGCACACAGTCTGTTTGCTCAAGTCTGCATCGGGACAAAAGAGCTAAACCATCAAAGCCATAACTTTGAATACTTGATGTGATGCGCTAAAGGCCATTTTTGAGGTAATCTCCGGAAAGGTTTACCTTTAGACTTCACTAGTACTGAATGAGGATCGGGTATTTACCCAACAATTTTGTAATTGTTCCTTATAATACCTTCAATTGGTAGAGTACTAGTAGTAATTCCTTTAAAAACGTAGCACAGTATGTGCAGTGTCAGTTGAAACAAGATAAAACTACTGACATTGTACTCCTTTTTAAAATACTACTATCATGTCCCTAAGTACAGAGGTGTAGTGGTTTTATGTCCGTACATTACCTGTATAGCCTGGTAACTACAAGAAAAGACAAGAAAAGTCTTCTTATGTTGCAGATGTGCAATGATAGCCTTTAACTGCTTAACAGTTCAAAGTTAGGGTTAGAGGTTCTCTGACCTTGCTCTCCTAGCTTCAATAGTGTGTAAAGGGAAGGAAAGAATCGGAAAGACGATATTACTAAACAGCTGGACACAAACAACTCAACTAATTACCTCGTTGTATGAGCAATAGCTTTCAATTTATCAGTGGACAAAAACAAATAACTGGCAAGAATAAAAGTCGGCATCTTCTGATGATCAAAAACGTCAAAGACCAGCACAGTACATTTACAAATAAGTAACATATAGGTATGAACTTATAAAACGAAAAATTTTGAGAATTTCTCAGTTGTACATGAACAGTTCAGTACAATAAAGCCCAGAAATGTTTACACTGGTCATGTATTTTGATAGGCCTGAGCTATACCAAAGGCTGCGACACTCAACTACCCTTGCCTTTCAATTCTTCAGCTTTCTTAATTGTATCAAGCCCCTGTGCCTCTGTGTGGGAAGAAAAGCACCGCTTACCCCCATGGCCATTGTTCCCCAAGAAGTAATGAAATGTTTAGAAGCTTGTATTTTGATAGCGGACACGGGGGAGGGACAAAAAGAGCGGGCAACAAGGAGGCCACTTCTCTAATCTTAGCCCCGGATTCAATAGAACACCTGTCCTGGGATTGGTAAAAGTCACACCGGTTCTCGTGAATAACGTTTAGAAGGTCCCGCAAAGGGTGCCGGCGCTATTGAGAGCTACTGAGACATGATACTGCCTCAATTCTTGTCAAAACCATTCAACATCCTATCTACTGAGACATTCAGTCGAGGAAATCCTTTTAGCAAACTGGACACAGACAGTCTACGTAGCTTCCCTAAACGTGAAAGGCGAGGATAACTGTACAAATATCGAAGGATGTGTCGTTAAAATGGGGTCAAG